CAATTCATTGTTCCAAGAAAATTAATTCACTGCATTAATTGGTTAATTGCTCCAACTAACTGCGAATTTTTTAGATCGTTACTCACTATTATAAATAAGAAATCAGCTTATTACCACACATATGGGCCTAAACTACACATTGTAGATAGGGGATGGATTTTAGTAATAAAAATTATTTTATCTGTTCTCTGAATTTTGGAGCACTATATTTATTCATTAGGTTCCTCGAGCCTTACGGTATACTAGAGTTCAATAGAATTTGAACACTTCGAATGTTTGAAAATGCTCCAGCTCTTCGAAGATCAAATCTGCCTTATCTTTTGTGTTGTTGTTGTGGTTAACCTCGGACCTGAAACGCATAAAAGAGCGGAATGAGGGTAAGTGATGTGCAAGGTAGAACAAAAGATGAGAAAATAAGTGAAGCTGTTGAATTTAAATGGAGTCTATTTGAATGGATTTACCCAACAACCAGGCAGAGTCATTAATTAATAGGACCTGAATTTTGATCGCATTTTAAAACATATGAGTGACGTAATATAGTGCTGTAGTTGGGGATGGGATGGATGAGTTGCTGAAGTACTTGGAGTCTACGTTTAGAAACTATTGTCTATAGAGACGATTAAGTTTCGTTCGCCCATGTTACAACTTTCTCCACACCGCTAACCGAATATTAATAAATATGATAAAACTAATTAAGTACCATTTTTAAATCATTAACATTTACATACTTTGTTTAAGAATAGGGAACATATGGACATTGTATTAAGACAACTGCGCACCCAAAGCTATTAGAATCATATAGTAAAGCTTTCCTTCTTTCTTGAAAATTGACTAAATTGACTATTTTTATCACTTAATACCCATCACTTAATATTTATACACGAAGCCATTTATGGGAATTTTTTCTCTTACTATATGCTCACAAGTTTTTCATTTTTAATCTTAAGGTAATCATGTTATCGCCTTTAGCGGTCTGTATTTTTAAAATAGTTAATTATGGCGGCGATAATCTCCTAAACTACGCATAAAACCTTTTAAAGTTTAATGTCCTCATTAATTACATTATAATTACAATTATATATATACAGAGTGCTCTTCAAAAGTGAATATAGAAATGGATCTTACTTATCTATATCTATGTGATGTAGATATGACCTGCTGGAGAGTTTAAATATTCTTCTTAATCTGAAGGTAATTTTTTTAGAGAAAATCGGAATTAAAAAAATATTGTTATTTTTTTTCGATCTAGATATGTATATATACTTCTTTCCAGATGCCACGTGGCTCCTAAGTAGTATTTTTAACGAAAGAAAAACATAAGATTTGCTTTTACGATTTAATAAATTTTTTATTAAATGTTTTAATACGAGCACACATTCTTAGGTGTGTATGTATGTATATATATATATATACTTATTTATAATGTATATATTAGTATTGTTAATTTTATTATGTGTACGTTTATAATTAAGTTACGTTCGTTTACCTTGGTATGAGATATCGTCGAAGTCTATTTAATATTTCGGTTTCACATTTCATTAAGTTTTTGTAATTAAATCTTATTTAATTTTTAATATTTGTAGTGTATTAATAATCTTAGTTAAATTTACGTATATAATAAATCATACAATATGATTTATAAATTTATTTATTTGTATTTCTAGTTATAAAACTTTATATATGAGTACATATATATATATTTATAAATATATATATATATATAAAACAATTTACTTTTGCGTGACTTTTACTTTTTTATTTCTGCTAAACTTTCTGTTTTAACTTAAAATACAATATATTTAAGTTTTTCTTTATTCAACTATTTGATTTACCTTTAATTAATAGTAATATTCATATTGTTCACTAATAATAAATTAATAAAAATTTTATTTAATTACAATTAACCTTACAACTAACAAATACAATCAAATTTGTGTTTATTTAACTATATTTCATATATATAGAATATTTATCTTGTTCCAGTGATAAGTTTTAGTTTTGTTTACAACTTATTTTGTATATAATTTTGAATTTTTGACCATTGGAATTGTCTAATAAGTTTTAATTTGTTTTAAGTTATTAACTAGAAAGAGTTACAATACCTTAATACGTTGGGAAAGGAATTAGGATATAGGTAGATATAAGGACTATTACTTAGTAAAATAATGTGGAAAGGAAAAATTTTAAGTAAACGTTAAAATTATCGGCACAATATTTTGACTACCATTGACTTCAATATAATTATTTTTGTGTAGTTTTTTTCAATTCAAAAGTACGAAGTTTTTTAATGTTTTTAAAAATCTGTTAAAAGCATCCTGTAATTTAAGTACTCATCAGATATTAATCAAATTTTTATTATAGTTATAACTTTTCAAACTATTTGTTTAGATATTTTTACAAAAAACGACTTGGAACATTTAAAATAGAGTTTCCCGGTATAGGATGTTTACAACAAACAAGAAAATATATTGAATAAGTTGAGGTAATAAATAATGGAGCATTCCGGGTATTGAAAACGTAAGCTTATCAAAGAATGACTAATTTCTTTTACATTTAGTCGCTATAAGTTAAATTTAAATTTTCGCGAAAAATTGAATGCAATAAATACATTTAACAACATGTCGAAGAAAGCATTATTTTAAAAACTTAGATCATTGTATTAACCTTAGAGGTAACAGATATTATAACCACAATAGATCAATATTTGAAACTACATATTCATCGATGAGATAGAAAAATTTATGAAAGTAAATTATTAGAGTCTCAATAACTTTACACTAAAGCTGTAAAAACTTCGGGAATTAGTCTTAAATAAAACTACACATATTTTTTATAAGTTCCTTTACAAAAACAAAAAATGATATTTTTAATAGAGCACTTTTCAGAAATCAGAGTCAACGCATTTGAACGAAAGTTATGTTGGATGCAAATGCAGCTGAAACTAGTTGTTGTTAGTTTTGTTCAAGAGAATTCGTTTATATGTAGACAACCTTTAATATGGTAGACAGGCTTACATCCCGCACAGATGAAAGCCATACTTGGTAAGTAAATTAATAACTAAATCAGTAACTAAAGCTATTACTGAATTAGTAACTAAATAAGTTACAGAATCAGCACCAGAAAATAAATCAGTTGCTAAATGTGGTTTACATGTTGGATTGAACTTTGATTTGCAGCTGTGGTTGCTTTATAAAGTGGTCAGGTCATCTGCGCGAGTCAATATGACTTTTGACTCTTTTTTTATAAATCAGACTTTAAATACTTAAAATATTTTATTATTTGCTTCAACGTTTTCATTTACTTCAATTTTTATATGTAATCATTTTTTACCATCTCCAATTTCCACCAATCTTCAAAAAATATTTGGATACAATTTTAGTGTTACTAAATATAAAATGAGTTTCTCAAACATAATAGTCAAAATAAAAACATATTTATATTGAAAGAAATTTTAAGATTTACTAATTATAAATACATATTAGACATAAACATACATAACTTTGACATTGATGCAATATTTATTTAATGATTTTTTATTAAAGTAAAGTTTTTTTACTATAATTTATTGAAAGTTTAAATTTTTTTGTAATTTTTTTCTCTATATTAATTACAACAACATTTAGAATTAAATTTGTATGAAATTGTATTATAAACATTGACATGTAATTTTAAAAATTGCTTTATTTTACTAATTATTTTCATAAAATTATTTAATTTACTTAATTTTAATCTTTGTTTTTCTTTAATTTAATATAATCAAGTTCTATTTTGACACGCAGAGCTTTAATGTATAAATAAAAAAAAAGTAACCTAATAAATATAAGTAAGACAAAAAAATTAAAATTTAATGCCACATTGTATTGTACATTTGCGTCTAATTTACACATTAATAATCTCTTACATATTAAAATAGTTGATTTTTATAAATATTTAAATAATTCACATTTAGATACATATAAATAATTTACAATTAATTTATTATTGTTATTTTTGCTAAACTTAATAAAAAATTCTTAAAATTTATTTACAATTTATCTGGTAAGTTTTATAATTAATAATAATTCTGACAAAATTGGCATCGTTTTATATAATTAATGATATAGTTCATTTTTAATATACATATTATAATTTGATAAAGCCACATGGAATTTCAATCATAATTTATTTAGTTTTTCATTTGAACATAATTACTTACAAACCTACAACCACATCAATGCGCAACATATGTTGCCTTATGATTGTTGTTTATTTTCATTTTATTTTTTGTTTTTGTTTAATGTTTAATGTTTAATATATATTATATTTCATATTATGTTTGCAAAAATTTTTAAGTATAAAATTTTTTTTATTAACAAATTTTATTAACTTTATTGCTTTTGTATATTTTGTGCTTTTCTCTTGCTTATATTAAAACCTTTTTATTATTGCTTCTTATGATACTGAAACGCTTCTACAATTAAAAATATAAACATTGAGAATAAATGAACAAACGAAGCAGATCCTCATATTTTTAAAAACGAATATCGAAATTACGTTCAGAGAGAGAGGGTCGGTCTTGTAGTAAATATGGGAGAGAGAAGAGAGTATAAATTAAGTGTGATAAAAGAGTATATATATATATATATAAGAATTAAATAAAAAATCAACAACGAACTGAAAAAACTAAATTACACATTACATTAAATTTTTAAAGCAAAAATAAATAAATTAATTAAAATATGATTTATTTTCAGTTTTCAAACATAAAAGCATAATACAGTAAACTAAATAATATAATTTTTTTATATTTTACTAAAAACAAAAAAAAATATCTTTATATAAATACATATACATATATATATAACTAAATTCAAAGTTTTTATATAAACATAAATAAATCAAACTCTCCCCCAATTAATCATAATTTAGTATTTAGTATTGAGTTTTGAGTTTGCGTCTTCACAAGTATCTACAAATATTTTTTTTTCTATTTGGTAATTTTTAAACAATTTAAATGCCATTATTTTTTTTCTATTATTTTGTAATTTATCACATTGAGTTAGTTAAAAATTTTTTAAACACATTTACTATATTGGTGTTGTATGAAATTCCAATATCATATTATTCACAATAGCTATACTAGCTGCTGTTAGTTATTGTTGAGCCTGTTAATCTTCTGCAAGTTGTCAAGATGTTATTATCGATTTAACAGCATCATCCAAGCCGGCTGATACACAACTAAAATCTGTAAGCACCGCAGCTGTGTTTGCTGCATTTGTTAAGTTATGTTGTTGCTGTAAAGTGTGTTGATGATTATGTAGACTGTGATGCGTATGATGATGATTAGTATTGTGATTTAATAGCTGTTGATGCGTATCAAGCAATAAATTGTTTACATTGTCACCAACTTCGTTCCCTGCGTTCGTACCGCCACTTATAAGACAATCGCTAAGATCATCTGACAACAAACGACGTTTAGCAGCCTCTTGGCAACTAGGTAAAGCTACCGTAACTTGTTGACGATCATCAAGCAAACTGTCATCTAACAGTGCGCCCATCGAATGATCCAGAGAAAAATTCAAAGAATCTGACTCACTATTTTGCAAATTTAAAATGCTATCGATTGCATTTTGCACATGTCGACTGATGTCATCGTCAAATTCAGCGGAACCTGTGATGTGATTAATGTTATGCTGTTGTAAGCTATGTTGGTGCATATGTTGTGGTTGCATACCATGGTTTTGAGAAAAGTGTTGATGGTGATCCATATTGTCATTATGGCCGTCTAAAATACCATCAAAATGTTGATGCGCCTGCGTAAAAGTGTGTTGTTGTTGCTGTAATAACAATTGTGTAAACCCACCAGGGCTTGCATTTACGTTATTCACATTGGAGCTGTGTTCCACACCTAAGCCATCATGCAAAGATAATAAATCATTAGTATCCATAAGATCATGATGTTGCATAGCTTGTTGTTGTGACAGTGGTGAAGATGATGTTGACGATGAGATTGGTGTAGTGCACATCTTTTTATTGATGTGTTCATCTTCCAAATCATTCGCAGACATCATGTGGCCATTCCAATGACGCTTTCGAATATCACTGTTCCCATCTCCTACAATCCCATTTGCAGCAATTGCATTTGTTGATGTTGTTGCAGCGGACATAAAGTCATTAAATTGAGCTTCCATAGTTTGCATCCAACGTGGATTATTATTGCAACTTAACTGTATGTGATGCTGTTGATTTTGGTGTAGTACTGTATTAGCCGTATACTGTTGTTGTTCATTATCAAATAATACATTTTGTTGAGTAACTGGTCCAGTTGAGCTGCTGTTGGTTGCACGTATAAAATTTGAGTTCGTGCCTAGTTCATGATCCCAAATTCTTTTGTCTTTTATTCCAACATCATCAGCTGAAGATTTTGTATCACCAAATATATCATCTAAACCGGATTCAATATCATGCGAATCACTACTACTTTTACCCAAATGAACTGGTGATTCACCAAACATAGCTTCTAAACGTGTTTCAACTGATTTGTGTACTTCTGAATCTGCATGGAAGAAGTCACTAATAGAAGCAACATGTTGATTGTTTGTTTGTTGTTGGTGTTGTTGGATAATTACAGGTTGTTGTCGTTCTTGGCTGCAGCTGTTGTTACTCCCGCTACTACCACTTGTATTGGTGCTGTCTTTACTTATGCAACCATTTGGAAACAAATCGACGATGTGGCTAGTGTCTGTTGTATTAAGTAAGGCGTTGGAATCAGAATTTTCAAAAATTTGTTCTAGCGACTTGACTGTCGTTTGTTGTTGTCCTATTTTATTTTCGGAATTGATTAAATTCAATTCCTTTTGCAGGCAAAACCAATCATCCTCGTGTTGCTTAGCGTTAATATGTTGTATGTTAAAGTTATTTGGTTGTAATTTTTGTTGATGTAGTATTTGTGACATTTGTTGTTCATATAAATTGCTTACTTTGTCACTGGATATAGTTTTTTGATTCATTGTAAAACGTTCATTTGCTTGATGTCCTTGTGAAATTTTATTTTGTTCTACTTTTTTCATTATAAAACTGGGCCTTATCTCTGATTCAATATCGAAGTTATCAAATTCTTTTTTAACATCAGCAGAGTGAGTATTATTTCCATCGGTTGACATGTCATCTTTTTTTATAGAACTGCTGTATTGCTGTTTATTGCAACTAGAGTAAGAAGTCATTGTTGATATCTTGCCTTTGTTGTCGAAACTTTCGACATCAGTGTTGGTTATTTGTGTATCGTCAATATGCCAACCATATTTCTGATCTTTCTTTACGATATCATGTTTTTTAATCGATGCAAATATATTAACATTGCTGCTATGTTTAAGTAAATCAAATTTATCCATGAAGATAGCACCATTTGTGATATTATTTGGGTCACGGTCACGGTCAGTTGGCTCAGTTTTTATTTCATTTTTGAAGCCAGAATTTTCTTGCTGCAGTGTACTATCTTTACAACTGTTTATGCCTGGTGAGCTAGTATTGATTTTATAAGAATTTAATTCGGTTTTGAATTCGTCCATAAGTTGTCGCTGATGTTGCTCAGTCAGATCTTGTTTTAATTCTTGATCAAGTTTTTCCCACTCATCCTGTGATTGTTTAGCTGATTTTAAATCGTCTAATTCCAGTTTCAGGTCGTCAATCATTAATTGCTGTACCTGACAGAACTCCGAAGTGCGATGTGGTAGCTGTTTTTAAATAAAATAAAATGATACATATTAGAAAATTTCTATTTAATTTCAATTTCAGTTTAATCTCAAAATTTTTACTAACCATAGATTCCTGAAGTAGCAATTTTTTAAATTTGCTGGAAAGTAAGTGAAATTTATCCTTCAGTCGTGTTGCGGTTTGATTAAATTCTTCATCTTCTTCAATTGGTATATACTCATCCTGTTGATGCATGCAATGATAACTGTAAAGAGCAAGAATTTTTTATTAAATCGCTTCTTTTAAAATATAGAATGAGAGGATCACATACCGAATAAGGCGTTTTACAGCTTCCTCTTTGCTTTGAAATGGATTACTGTAATCAGGTTTGATACAACTTTGTTGATCTACATCCAGTTGACGTATAAATCTATTAAAAAGAAATTCATTAATTTATGCATAAAAAGTTATAAAAACAAGAGAAAAAATAAATTCGTTCAATTCTGAAATATCGACAAAACTACTTTTGTGTTTTCAACCAACTACTCACAAGGAGAGACGAGCAAGTTTCGGCTTTGTCGACTCAAGTTCTTCTGATTTATTTAGAGCCGTTGTTATTGTTTGTGGAGTTGAAGTAACCACGTTGTTACTAGCTAGTATTGTAGTAGTTCCCGCTGATATTTTAGTTACACTTGAGGATGTTGTTGGTGCTGCTATTTCAGTGGCTACAGATGTTTGTTGTGGTTGTTGTTGAATTTGTTGCTGTTGCTGGGGTTGTATAGTAATCGTATTACTATGACTGCTAACAGATGCAGTTGTTGTTGTTGTTGCAGAAGCAGCTGTTGTGCTTGAAAATGCTGTAATGGACATCTGTTGTTGGGTCAATGTTGTTCCATTCGAGGAGAATACTAAGGGTGGTGGTCCGTTTGGCACATTATTGGAGTTTTGGTAAAGCGTGTTCTTCTGTTGTATTGATTGTGGTTGTGGTTGAGTAGTTTGCTGCTGCTGTAAGCTATTCGTGGCGTTATTGCCTTGCTGAACAAATTGCTTTTGCTGAGATATCATGGGAACCATGGTATTAGGTATTATATGCTGTTGTTGTTGTTGTTGTATTTGCTGAGTAGCAATTTGCTTAATTTTTGCTGTTGTTTCTTTCGCTTTGGCTTGTTGCTGCTGTTGGCTTACATTGTTTGTTGTTAATTGAGAAATTTGTTGTGATTGTTTCTGCTGCTGCTGCTGTTGTTGTTGTTGTTGCTTTTGTTTATTTTGCTGTACATTTTGATGATGTTGCATCGGATAAATATGTATGCGATGAGCTACATTTTGTTGGTGAGCTTGTTGTTGTTGTATGTTGTTACTAGAGCAGCTAACTGTAGTTGTTGTTGAATGATTATTAGGTTGGACGACATTTGCTGGTATATTTGCTGTATTTGGTTTTAAATCAATTTGCTGATTTTGTTGGTGCGATATTAGTGTGAAACCACCATTCGCATTTGGTAATAAGCCTTCAGGTGTGGGAATTTCTTTTCCTGAAGCTAATATTCGCTGTTGCTCTCCCAGGAGGCGTTGCAAAGCCACATTTATTTCGTTATCACTCATTGGCTTATTGAATGCAGCAATTACAGCTGGATCAAAATCTGGCGGCAACGGAGTTGTTGCGAGTAATGGCCTATGTTGTAACTTAATTGTGAGGTATTGTATTTGCATTTGAACTTGTTTAAACATTTGTTGTTGTTGTGGCGTTAATTGTATTGTTTGTACACGTGAAACCGTATGTTGCTGTTGCTGTTGTGGTTGTGGTTGTGTATGAGACGGATTAGTTTGTGATTGTTGCTGCGTCAGTGTGTTACTGTTGTTAGCAGTAGTAATGGAGGTAAGTACTGCAGGTCCATTTGTTATACTTGCAGTTGATGTGGTATTTGCAATGCTAGTAGTTACTGCTTGCATTGAAAAACTATTAATAAATGTTGTGTTAGTGTTATTGCTAGTTGAAGATATATTGCACGATAAATTACTGTTGCTGTTGCTGTTGCTACTATTATTATTAGCAACAGACGTATTGATAGTTCCGCTATGATTATTAAAATTTCGTTGATTATTCGTTTGCAACAAGTTTGAAGACTGTTGAAAAGTTTGCTGCTGTATTTGTTGTTGTTGTGGCGGTTGCTGCTGCATTGGTGCAGTGATACCAATTAGTTTTGTAGTTTGCTGTAAAGTTTGAAACGGTTGTATGCTATTGCTTGTAGTTGTAGTGGTAGTTGTTGTTGTTACACTGCTGCAAGCAGAAGAGACAACAACTTGCTTGCCGCTTGCAATATTTGGTTGAACGATTTGTACGGGATTATTATTTGGTTTTTGTGATAAAGGATCTAATTTGGGCATCGGCTTTACAACGCTAGCATTTTTCATAATTGCGGATGTCCCACCTGCACCTGCAGCAGCAACGTCAGCAGCAGTTGTTGTAGTTTTTGGTTTTCGTACAGGTTTCTTTTTTACAACTTTTGTTGGTTCTAACTTGGCTTTACTTTGATCTATAATTGGAGCGACATTTGCCACTTGTTTTGTGACGGTTGTTGTCGTTGTTGTAGTGTTTGTCAGAGTTAGCGATGAATTGTTGCAATTAATAAGTGGTTGTATTGGTTGTGGATGGACAATCTGTTGCTGCGGTTGTATTCGAGACTGATTTAAAGGTTGATTTATACTTGAGTTAAGTCCAATGGTTGGTTGCGTTGTAGATGGTAAAGGGTTGACGTCATTAAAATGGATTTGCCCTTGTTGTAGACACTGTGCCAATTGCTGAGCATTTATACCAGCTGGAGCAATAAGTAATCTTTCGGTTGGTCCAATCGATGCTGCTGTTTGAGTTGCACTTATAGGTGTTATCTGATTGTTAAAAGAGTTAAGGCAAAAGAGCTGCTGTGTAGACGGATCTATTTTTGGTAAAGCAACATAACGTTGCTGACTCTGCACAGCTGCTGCTGCAGCAAATGCAGCCTGGTTTATTAATGCATTATTTGCTTGATTTGTTTGTGTCAATATTTGTTGCTGTTGTTGGGTAAATGTCACCAATTGCTGTTGAGGTTGAGGATCTTGTGGCTTGATTTGAGTTTGTTTTGAATCATAAACAAAACGTTTGTTATCCAATTGCGTTTGTTGTTGGCCCACGTTTTGCCCTGACATGTGATTGGTGACATTCGATGTATTCGCATTTAATTGCAATTGAATTGTGGGCGGTTTTACTGTAGACAAATTTTTATTTACAGCTCCTGTACTAGGAGCGATCACAGTTTTTGAACCATTTGAACCAATTTGCGACTGTTGCTGCTGTATGGTGTTCGCCTGTTGACTCCTATTATCTACTTTAGTTGGCTCATTGATTATTGTCAAATTTGGGAATGCACCTATGGAAGAGAATATTTGAAAAATAAAATAACGGTAATTATAATCTATTTAAATATAAAGTTTTTTTAGTTTCAAATTTAAGATACCTTTTAAGAGAGCTTGTAGTATAAGTTGAGATTGAGAATCTTGAGGTTGATTTGGATCGTGCCTTAGAATTAAGCGCTCACAATGTTCAGAAACTGCTAAAGTTAAGCTTCCAGTAAGTTGAGGAATCAATGCCGCAGCAGATGCAGGTGAACCTACTGATATGGATACATTACCAGGCATTCCTGTCAGTTGCGGTGGTAATATTGCAGTTGGGATAGTATTGTTACTGGTTGAATGATGCTGCTGTTGCGTTGTTGTCTGTACGGGTGCGGACTGAGGTATGGCTACTAGCTGCATTTGTCTACCATCAGATGATAGTTTAATAGTTGGTTCTTGTTGCAACGAAGAAGGTGCTGTTGGGGTTTGAAAAACTATCTGTTGTTGTTGTTGTTGAGGCTGCTGAGATTGTTGTTGTTGAAATGGTTGCGCCTGTGTTGGAGCTATAGTAATGTTATTCGGACTACTTGATACTGTATGAGATCCTATTTTAACGCCAGTATTGTCCAGTATTGGCATAATTTGTATTTTATTTTCCACTGCATTAGAGACTGCATTTGGAATTGTGCTATGGTTTGTAATCTTTGACGCATCTACTTGTGATATTTGTATGTTACCAATTTGGCTAGGAACTTGTGCAGGTGTTGGCGTTGTATTTAGAATAGTTGATGTTGTTGTTGTTGTTGGCGCAACAGTGGATGTTATAGTTGCATTGACTGTAGGTGTGCTAATAGTAGTTGTAGTAACAGAAATAATGTCCTGCTTTTTGCCATTACGTCGCACTGCTGGTTTTCGCCGCGGTTTAACCGCCACTGTTGTAGTTGAATTGGAAGTGGGTGTACCAATAGTAGCAACTGTTGTCATTATTGTTCCACCAGCAACAGTTGAAGTAGAGCTAGAATTCAATATCGTTGAATTTTGAGAAGTGAGAGTATTATTTGTTTGGTATATTGGTTGCATATTTTGTTGAGACGACGACTGTGAAGATGAAATTGGTGCTGATGCTGGCAAATTAAAATTTAATGTGGGTGTACTTTGGGTATTTTTAGGTTGTTGTTGTTGTTGTTGGTGCTGCTGCTGTTGCGCAATTGCTGCTGCAGCTTGTTGTGCTAAATGTTGCTGCGCTTGCTGATGAATTTCCTCAGCAGTGGGAAGGCGTGGTATTGATATTGTATACGGTGGTGTAGTTGCATCATTTTGATCAATTTTAATTAATATATTTTGCGGCTCGCCATTTTCACTACATAGGGAAGTGTTAGCAGAATTTGTAGTTGTTGCTGGAATTGTGAAGGTGAAAGGCAAGGAATCACCACCATTTTGGTTTGGAATAGAGATCATAATATCATTTGTATTTGATGGTACTGAGGTTGTGGAAGCAGATGTTGCTATTTGTGGTGTAGATGAGTGTGAAGAAGTGATAACTACATCGTCAGACTGTGTTTGCGGGTTAGGACAATCCATTCCATAATCCTCATCATCATCATCTTCCATGATACCACATAGTTTCATTACATTTCCGAGATCAAGTTTGCCATTGCTGGCTCTAGTTATTTGTGGTGTAGGTGAAGGAGATTTTGGTCGAACTTGTTGCTGTTGTTGTTGTTGTTGTTGGATTTTAATATTATTGGTGGGAGCAGAAATTAAGTTACTTTCACTATGAGCGTTTGAAGCATATTGTGACTGATTTATTTGGTTTGTAGTTACTGAGAACATATTATTGCTATTTGACGTAGGAACCATGCTATTAGTCGTTGTGTTCATTTTATAGTTCGTGTTTGTGTTAGCTGAGTTGTTAACACTGGTGGTGGTAGTATTAAAAACAATTTTTGTACCCGCATTTGTTGGTATAGTAGTGGCAGCTCCTGATCCTGTTGGAGTTGCTGGTACAGTTGCTACCAAAGCGGCGGAAGCGACTTGTTTTTTCTTGCGTGGCTTTGGCTTTTTCTTCGTTTCTATAACATTCGATTGTTGTGTTGCTTGTTGCATTGTATGAGGCTGAACTTGTATAGTAGCAACAGTATTGCCCGTTGCCGTATTTATTATTGTCGTTCCATTGGGCAATTGTTGTTGATTTATGGTCAAAGACGTGCTCGATTGTTGAGGACTTGATGTCGTTGTAATATTTTGTATTACGGAAGCTGGAGTGGATTGTCTCAGTGGTTCAGGAGTAACTGCAACTGGGACATGCGCAGGTGATGATTGAGTTAAATGAGATATTGTAGACGTCTGTTGTGGTGGTGGAGTTTGAAATGTTGCCCCTGCTGCTGCCGCGGCTGCAGCTATCTGTTGTATATTTGCACCACTTAATTGATTAAGATTAATCAGTCCACCAGTTGTACCACTTAAGTTTTGCTGAAACTGAGCTGGCAATTGGGACAATATAGTCGTGGCTGGCGCAGCAGTTGCACTTAATCCATTTGGCATTTGTATTTGTGCAATACTTCCACCATTAGTGGCAGCCGCAATTTGGAGATTCTGTAGTTGTGCGGCAACACTTTGTCCCAATAAATGACTATTAATAGTTGCTGCAGTGGTGAATTGTTGAGATCGTGGTGTGTTCGCAGCAGCGGCTGCCGATAGTGCAGCATGCAAACCGCTCAACTGCGTAATGGCTGGATTCTGTGGAGTTGTCTTGATTGTTTGTAAGTGATTCGCAGTCTGTTGAATAAGGTTAGCTTGAGAGGATACAATAAAAGTTGGAGTTGCAGCTAGTTGCATGGTGGCCCCATTCGTTCCCAGTATACGCAGAAGTTGTTGAGGTTGTTGTTGTTGTAACTGTGGTTGGGGACGGGAATTTTGTATAACTAGAGAAGGTGTTGCTGTTAGTTGAGGAGTTGGTGGCCGTAGAATTAATTGAACTCCCTGTGGAGTATTTTGCTGCACTAGTACGGGCATTTGATTAAGTAACAATGGTTGTTGAGTTGTTGCTAAACTGGCAGTGGCACCAGCCGGAAGTATAATCTGTTGTTGTTGCTGTTGATGTTGAGTAGATGAGGTGGGGGTACTAGAAACGCTTAATTGTGCTTGTTGCGGCTGTGGTGAATTTGATATTTGAGGCAACTGGGGCATGTTGCTGGCAGATACAGATGCGGATGCAGATGCAGCAGCGTTATTGCCAGAAGACCCATTATTTTTGGTTTTTTGCTGATTTGTGGATTGTGGTGGCGGTGTAGAATTATTTGAATTATGCTGAGGTTTCGGCAGTATTTGTTGAGGCGCTTTTGTTGCTTTTAATGTTGTGTTCGTTGTTGTATTATTATGACTGTTGTACGAGGTGGGAGTGACGCTTGTTTGAACTGTTGAGGTGCTGCCGATGAATCGTTGTTGTTGCGTTGTAGGAGCCGCAATTATTTGACCTTGTGGTCCTTGAATAAATTGAAACACTTGCTGCGGCTGCTGAGTTTGCTGCGGCCCATTGCTGGCAGCAATTGTGAATTGTTGCTGTAGCATTTGCATTGGTTGAGGTGTTGGTGGTTTTATAGCGGCTGAAGTGATTGTATTACTTGGGCTTGGTATAGGACTATCAGCGATTAAAGGACTACTGCTTTGATATTGCTGAAATTGTTGTTGTTGTTGTTGACTAAGTGCTGTCGTAGGCAACACAGTTGCTCCTGCTTTTTTCGTTTGACCTTTTGGGCAACCAGCCACATTTGCTGTCGCAAACGAACTGGGCGTGTTGATCGCTGCTGCCTGTGGTTGCCCATAGCCGCCGGCTACAGTAGTTGATGTTAAAGAGGCGGGTTGGCAAATTGATGTCACAGCAGTGCTAAAAGATTGATGCTGTTGTTGTGAGGGTTGATTATACTGCGGTTGTAGAGAACGTTTATTTCCCTTCTATAATTAACAAAATTAAATTAATATAACAATATAACATTATTAATATATAAGATTAATAAGATTAGGTTAAATATATATCATAAATAAGCAAATAAGCAAATATTTATTACCTTATTTAATTGAATGTTATTTGAGCCAACTAAGGTTGTATTGAATTCATTGCCAGTAACCGATGTGCCAGATGTAATGGAAGCTGCACCAACACCGGCTGTCACGCCAATATAACTTGTGGCAGCAGCAGGCGATTGCGATGGACTTGGTTGAAATACGACAGTACCAGCGTTGGGACTGCCATTAGTAAATTGGTGAATAGATTGTCGTCTACCAGGCGTTACCGCTTTACGTTCCTATAAAATGAGATTAATAAATCTGTTATATAGACATTTTTGTTGGTTATATTACTTGATCTTGTGCTGCATTTGTGATTGTGCTTCCTGCTACTAAGAGAACATCTTGTGGAAATGGTGACAATGACGGTGATGGTTGCAAACGTGGACTAGCTGAGATCGATGGTGATGGGCTGGGCGTTAAAAACGGACCCGGAGGAGACAATATTCCTAAAATATTTAAAAAGATAAATGTTAAATAAAAATGTTCAAATATTTTTTTCAAATTAATAATATTTAAGTATAAGGTATTTTTGTTCAACACAAAAGTACTTGATAGCTAAATTTGGAGTACTATGAACTTCAACGAAGTGCTATAACATTTTACTGCTACTTCAAAGTTTTTTGTTGCAGCAGGACTTGTTTGCAAGAGAACAACACAAAGAGGTTGAAAAAATCCTTTCTCGATTGCCTGCATAAGTGTACTCCATCATCTGCTACAATCAAATTGTAATTATATATTTCGCAGCAAAAACCATTTTTGTGGCTTACGTGTATATTAAATTTCAAAAACCAGAAGTGAACATCAGCAAATAAAAATTAACCAAAAATAACTAAAAACAAAACAATTTTAGGTATTTTAATACGTGACCAAAGAGAAGTTTGCGCCATTTTCTGTAGATTATTTATCTATGGATTTCTATCCAAATTCTACTTCTTTGGCTTTTTTTAATTTTTTAATTTTTTAATTTTACACTTGCGAAATTGTTTTCCTTTTACTATAAATGAAGCAAAAATAAATTGCTTTAACGGTTGGGGCACAGCACAGAGTTTATAATATTTTCGGTAGAGAGGTTTCACGGCTCATTGACTTATAGTTCAGATTGTTTCCGCGTTTTTCATTTCACGGGATACTTTTTACTTTGCAAAGGATTTAGTGATGCTTTTTTATGTCGTGAATAATTAAATTTTTATTTATTTTTTAAATATATGCCTTTTGAGGGCAATTGTGTTTGTTTAGGTCAGATATATTAAAAGAAGGAAGAATAGCTTTAATGTGGACCACTTACATTTATAAGGAGTTTAACAAAGTAATTTTAATAACTTATAATAAAATGAAGTAATTGAATTAGTCAATATAACAAATAAAAATACTAATAGTCTGTTTGGATTGATATAAGGTGGTTACTTTTATACATGTAGCGGAATGTATTATATGTATTTTGGCTTGCCATTTGATTTTTAAATTGATGTAAGTGTATTCTAGCAAGCTTTACAGTTGTTAGTTAATATTAGATATATATATATATAACAAAGTTTCATTATTAAAGTTAGTTTAAATTAGTTGAATAACATTTATTTGAAACTCAAATAAATGTACTAAAAACATTTCGAGAGCACATAAAGGTATTCTACTCTTTCTTATTTATAGCTATTGGTGGTTAGCTTTAGTTCTGCAGATGTAAACAAGAGTAACAAGTTCAAGTAGAATTCTTTATATTATTTTACTTTTTACAAGTTCAAGATTCCCCACAAAGACACAAATACACAAATGCACAAATGTTCTGTTCTGTACAGGATATGAAAACTTTTCTACTTCATGGACAGTTTTGATATGAAAAATATTCTCCTCAATGCACAGGAATTTGTTTAGCTCAATTTTCCTTTGCTTTTACTTTTGCAAAAGAGTCTGTGAAAGGCCTTTTGTGTAGCTTGTTGGTCCTTCAGGCTACTTTGACTACGTTTTTTTATTTACATTTGTATTCTTTTAAAATTTTCCATTTATATGAACTTTTGAGTGGGATTTATGTAAAGGTGATAAATTATATGTACTTGAGTAGAGAAGTTAAGCAAAGTTCCATTTACCCTACTGCTGAGAAGTTCTGTTGAAACAATTTTAAAAGGTAACATGAGCCTTTGTTTTAAACTGGTTGTTGGAGTTGTTGGAGGTACTTTTTCAAGTACATAAATAGTAAAAACTTTTATAGCACAAAGAATTTTTATATGTTAAAATTGTAGAATATAAAGAATAATATTTGTTTTGTAAGATTTGTAAATTTAATTCTGTATTATAATAAATGACATTGTATCCAACAATATGTTTTGTTTAAAATTTGTAATTAATTATATCTTACGATATATCAAAATTGGTAGTCGTTTGGATGTAGCAATACTTGATGATAATAGGTAGAACAAATCTTTCAGACAATGGGGAAACTTACTATATCTATATGCTTGATTATAACGATTTAATTGTGTTATAAATAAATTATTTTTCAAAAATATGCATACAATTTTGTATGGCATAAATTAAAATTAAATAAAATTAAAATTAAATTAAAATTTAAATTTAATTTTAGATTGCTTACATTTTATTCATAATTTTATAAACATTTTATAAACATTTGTGTGTTGTTCAGAATGCAGATCTCGGGACGGATATTTCTCACCTCTACTCCCACCCACCCAATTCATGTTTAATTTTAAGTAAAATTTGAAGTAATCATTTCCATTTATATTGTTAGTAATACTTTATTTCAAATTGTTCAGGTTAAAAAAGCAGTATATACAAAAAACAAATAGACAACATACAGAAAATTGTGCCATCTTTAATTGATAATTGATAAGTAAGTAAGCAGCAAGCAGTAAATATTATTCTTATAGATCTTAACTTCGTCAATACGAATTAGTGGAATTTGACTAATAATGGTTAGGATAAGTCAGTTAAAAAAATTTAGAGCAATCAGAATTTCAGAATTTCTGCTTACACCACAATTTTAATAATATATTTACAAATATTATTTATAAAAATTAAATTAAGAAAAACTCTAAGTAATTGGTTTGTTTGTTTTAGTCGATTTCATTTATTTATTTTTTTTTTTGTAGATTTTGCAAAAAATCAATTTTCACCCCAACATGAGAATAAATTGAAAGATATTTACAGTGAGCCAGAGCCAGAGCCAGGCCAGCGTTAATTTACATATGAGCAGTAAGTATACAAGAAATAAAACAAAAACCACCACCAACCGAGCCGTGCGTACTCGTATATATCGACATTATAGTCTATAAAAAAAATGGATTTTTGCTTTTTATCCACAAAAGAGGAGCCTTTCCGACTATAATGGTAGATGAAAAAAAAAAAAAAGAAAGCACGAAACAATGAACACAAAAGAATTAAACTAATATATACATATGCATATTCGGCGAATGAATGCATAAACACACATTTGTATAGAAAAATACAAACTTCATTTTCATTTTCATTTTTTTTCTCATCAGAATCAGAATCAGCATCAGCATCAGCATCGACATCAACATCGACATGGGCATCAGCATCTACATCTACTGTAAAATTGTCCTGGCAACCACCATCAACAGCCGTCATCAGTAACATCAAACAAACAGTTTATGTTGTTGTGATAATTTTGCTGTCGAAGCCTGACGAGATTGTTGACTGAGGACATTGCTATAAACCAAGCTAAGTCAGCCAACCAAAAAACGCAACAGCACACAAATGCAAAAAAAAAAAAAATAATAAAATAAAATCATCCATCTATAGAGATACATAACAACCTACGCTGTAAGTAAGTTACCTACTAAGTTGCCTGGTTAGGTTAGGTAACTATTATGGTATTTATATTTTAGCTTATAATATTTGGCATCCTGGCTCTGGGCAGGCGGCTAGGCCAGTCTAATACACAAAGTGTGCTTTAGAAAAGCGTAAAAACAGCAAGACGCAACCATCAAATGTATAACTTGCAAGTTGAAAATATAAAATTCAAATAAAAAAACTCAAGCAAAGGGCGCACACATTTATATACACACCAACCCAAAGGAGTAGTTAGTTCACAGCAATTCAACTTTAGCTGTATTACCATCAACATCAACATCAATAACAATTGCAACAGTAACAGCAACAGCAACAGCAACAGAAACAGAATTTGCAACAAAGCAACTAACTAACTGACGATATGTCTATATATATGACTGACTGACTGACTGCTTGACTGACTGACTATCTTTTCTCTATTTAAAATTTAAACGTAACGAACAGAAAATTATATGAATCCTACTTCAACGAAGCTACTCTTTGTTGGAACTTCGCTTGCACTACTCTCTATGTCTAAGGAGCATTGTATTGTCTTGTCTTGCTGGCTCCTGTCAAAGTCATGGAATTATTATAGTTCATGTTTTTATAGTCTGTTTGTTGTTGGTTGTTGCATCTTAGCTTTTTGCTTTCCGTGAATTATGAATGTGCGTACTGTTGAAGGTAACGCGATTCCACTCGTACTCCACCACGCAAGACGATTTAGAAGAAACGTTACTGTGAAAATGAAGTGCAATACTCATACCCGTACTCGTACTAGAAATGTGCAATATATTACCGCTGAGTCTGCCAATAAATATGGTTAATGATGTCGGCTAATAACGTATGTATCGAAAGGAGTTATTTCAAATTCGTGCATAAATTTAATAAAAAAAAGCGTGAAATGAGAAGTGAAAAGATTGACCTTGCAATGAAAAAATTGATGGTAATTCATGAAAGTACTGTCTTTAAAATCATGTCTAGCAGTGACAATGTTTTATATCTTTTATATATGAATAATGTCATTTGAAGCTTTCAATAACTCTTTTGTTAAAAATACACAAATATTTATTGTTAAAAATATTTAAGAGGCCTATATTTTTTTTAAAATAAGAATATGTTTTAAACATATTAAAATATATGAATATATGAAACAAGAGTCACTACACTGTTACTACAGTTAAGATCTTATTGTCTTTCTTTTAAGAATATATACACATTGCCTCAATAAGCAATAATGCATATAATAATTTTTACAGTTCCCCCTGATTATATTTTTACAGTAGTAGAAAGCTATAAATATCTTTTATCAGGTGCGGAAACATATCCGAGAGTAAAATAACTACGACATCTGCATATGTTATTACTTAAGCACCATTTAGACCAGACTTTTCTTAAGACAATATTCAATATTCAACAGCCAAAGTAGTTTTTAAAGCATTAGGAGACATTGAACAATCATTGCTTCGCAAATCAGGCTCCTAAATTTTTATTTAAAGAAATCGAAATTTCTATCTATGTAGAATTCTAATAAAATATTTAATTATTTAATTCTAATGATAGTTAGTTAACTAGCACTTCTTTAAGAAAGGATTAAAAGGTGTTATTAGCTACAGAAACAACCGACTTTCCACTTTGGTTTGGT